TGAAATAAGACCTGGATGTTTACGTACAAATTTTTGCTGTGTGTGTATGTGTGTGTGTTTTAAAACTTGTGGTGAAATTCACATAACATAAAAGCCACCATTTTAATAAAGTCTACAATCCAACAGCATTCAAGAACTCACAATGTTGTGCAACCATTAGCACTACCTAGTTCCAGAACATTTTCATCACCCCAGAAGGAAACCCTATATCCTTTAAGCAATCACTCCCCATTTCCCCTCCCTCCCAGACTCTGGGAACAACTAATATGCCTTCTGGCTCTATAGACTTGCTTATTTTGGACATTTCATATAAATAAAAGTATGTGATATGGGTCTTTCTGTGACCAGCTTCCGTTACTTACCGTTAAGTTTCCAACGTTCATCCATATCGTTGCGTATGTGTCAGTACCCAGCTTTTTTATGGCTGAATGATATGCCATTGCAGGGATACACCACATTTTGTTTACCCATTCATCAGTTTTAGATATGTGGACTGTTTCCAGCTTTTGGCTATCATAAACAGCGCTGCTATGAACATCCATGTATAAGTTTTTGTTTGTATATCTGTGTTTGTTTGTTTGTTTGTTTTGAAACAGGGTCTCACTCTGTCACTCAGGCTGGAGTGCAGTGGTACAATTATAGCTCACTGCAAAACACCTATTTTTGATTATTTGGAGTATATACTTAAGAGTGGAACTGTTGCAAATATACTTTTAAATCTTTCTCTGCTATGGTCTCACACCAGATAAAGTTTATGAAGCAATTTTTCCATCTCATAAGAATATTATAAATGTACAATTATCAGCTAATCTAAAAACAAATTATAGTTATTAAGGCTGATGGAAACACTGTCTTATGAATGTCATTAGCTGTAGAAACTTTCTAATGTCCAGTGTAAATCAAGGAACCAGTTAGAGTCAACAATATGAAAAAATGCTCCAAATTTAAGAAATTTTGAAAGACTGGCTTTAAAAACAATTACAAAAACACTTGCCAATTCAGTTGGTTACTTGCATTGCACTTCCAAATCTTGGAAGAAGCTGTTATATTGACCAGTTGGAAAGGTTTATAAAATACTGAGAGTGAGTAAATTTGAGAAAAAGACAGCTAGCAACAATTATTATCCATGTTCTTATAGGTTCTTTTGCCTTGAAGAATCCTAAAAATGAAAATATTTTGTTTGAACTTAAGGTGCCTATAAATCGCATCAACATATAAGTAAACTTTGAAGGTCAACTGAGCTCTTGGTGGTGGTGGCAGGGTGTGTGTGTGTGTGTGTGTGTGTGTGTGTGTGGCTGCCCATCCTGTCTCACCCCCATAATTCTAGGAAAGCCCAGCCCAGCTTGGCCATCTGGCCCCATGAGTTGTGTGTCTACATCTTAAAACTCTGGAGATACCACAATGAAGTCATTTCCTGTGACATGAATCTCTCAGCCTTGCCCAACTGAATTATCTCCCACAGCATTTCAAGGATTCATGATAAAGAAAGGACAAAAGCATGGGTGACAAAAGATAAATTGCAATCTCACATAAGGTTGCTGCATCAACTGTGACATGTGGCATTTGCTTAGTGTTTAATAATCACCAGTCCTCCACTCAAACACCCACTGGCTGTGGCTCTGGAGGGCAAGTTATAGAGGTCTACCTAAGAAACGTCCCCAGATAGGAAAGTAAAAGGATTGAAAAGGAAAAGAAAGAATTCAAGTCAACAGGAGAGCCGAACTGCTAACCAACCGGTTAATTTAATTATGTTTTATAGTTCTCTTCTAAGTTTTATAATTAATATAATTAGCCAAACAACTAGCACCCCTCAGGATCCAATCTACCTTATTCTGTCTGGGTTTGGTATGAATCATAAGCATACACCAACCCCTCAACACCCTGGCAGCCAGGAAGGCCTATATTCTACCTGCCTTAACAGGTGCATTCTCATGTTTCAGCAGAGAACGCTGCCAACAACAGAATGCTCAGAACCATTAGCCATCAGAGAAGTGTCAATCAAACTGCAATGGAATATGACTGCACTCCCACCAGGATGGTCACACCTAAAAAGATAATAACAACTGCTGGTGAGGGTGTGGAGAAATCGGAACCCTCATAACTGCTGGTGGGGATGTAATATGGTACAGCTGCTTTGGAAAACAGTCTGGCAGCACCTCAAATTGTTAAACATAGAGTTACCATATGACCCAGAAATTCCACTTCTAAGTAGACAGCCAAGAGAAAGAACTCCTATGTCCACACAAAAACTTGTACGTGATGTTCACAGCAGCATTACTTGCAACTGCCCAAAAGTAGAAACAACGCAATGCCCATCAGCTGATGAATGGATAGATACAACGTGATATATCCATACAATGGAATAGTATTTGGCAATAAAAACTAAAGAAATACCGATCATGCTGTGACACAGGAGCCTTGAAAGCATTATTCTAAGTGAAGAAAGCCAGTCACAAAAAGACCACAAATTAGCCAGGTATGGTGATGCGCGCCTGTAGTCCCCGCTACTCAGAGGCTGGGGCAGTGAGCGGAGATTGTGCCACTGCTCTCCAGCCTGGGCAACAGAGCGAGACTCCATCTCAAAACAAAAAAACAAAACCACAAATTGTGTCATTTCAGTTTCAAGAAATGCCCCAAATAGGCAAATCTATAGAAACAGAAAGTAAATCTATAGTCATGCCACCCTCAACGTGCCCCATCTCGTCTGATTTCAGAAGCTAAGCAGGGTCAGGCCTGGTTAGTACTTGGATGGGAGACCGCCTGGGAATACCGGGTGCTGTAGGCTTATCGGAAAAAAAAAAAAAGAAGAAGAAGAAGAAAAGAAAAAAGAAACAGAAAGTAAATTAGTTGTTGCTAGGGCCTAGAGGGAGGAGAAAATGGGGACTGACAACTAACAAGTATAGAGTTTCTTTTGGGGACGATTAAGATTTCCTGGGGTTAAATATTAGTGTTAGCCAAACAACTCTGTGAATATGTTAAAAGCTTTAAATGGGTAAACTGCTATTTATAGATTATAAATATATGTCACATATATATCCATTATGACACAGAAGTGAAAGGCTTGCTCAAATTCACAAGCCCAGTGACGTATGTTTATATGTCATATATATTTATAATACATAAATATGAGAGAGTATGAACGTGAATACCCCTGCTGGCCTCGGTCAAGTCACTGGTCACACTCACCATTCGCAGGTTTTGAGTCGTTCTCGTCTCAACTGCTCTGAGAAGCTCTCTAAATCTTCCAACTCCTCTTGTCAAGTTCCTGCGTGCACACAGAATTTGATGGTTTTCATCCGGCATGGATTAATATCAAATATTGTATATGCATGTTTCAATGCATTTTGTCTGCATAAAAGCTGTTGGCTAGATTTTAAGCAAATGATTACTCTGCACATGTTTAGTCGTCTTTGGGTAAATGAAAAATTTGACCTAAGATTTATGGCCCGTTTTGTTTTCTAACCCCTAGAATATTTTCCCTAAAAAATAAAACACCGAAGATCAGTTGAGGCCAACAAATTAAAAAGCAAGATCCCTTAGAAGAGTCTGTGTTCAAACTCTCAGTGGCTCTGTAGAGTGGGAATGAATTGTAGATTTTCATTTAAAAGGTGGGAGACAACACTGGGCAAAAGGGCCAGGAATATGAGCAAGCCACTGTGTGCACCGTGGGCAAAGATAGAAACACGAAGATGAAAGGTACGGCAGGACAGGAACTCTACCAAGCAATCACTCTGCCTCTTTGAAAATGTAAATTTATCAAAACCCAGTAAACGCCTCAAACCAACCCTCCTCCAAACCCCACACTGACAAAAAGAAGCAAAGGCTCAGAGGTCCCTTCTGAGAGTGAGTGCATGACTGGAACCCGAGCTTCCTGAGTGTGAGCAGTGCCCACCTCATCTCACTGCCACTCACACCCCACAGGGACACACTTGGTGACACATCTCATTAAGGGACAAATAATTCTTCTGTAACATCCTGGTCAATATTTTGAAGCCCCACTTCTCTCTGAAAGCTGCGTCCAGCCTGTTCAGCTAGGAATGCCCCCCAGCCAGTCCCTCTACATTAAGCACTGCCATCACCTATGATATAACTAGGTGATATTTATAACTTGCTCATCAGAACAGATCTCATCTTTCCAAAAAGCCACAGCGCGGGTCAGCCGGTGCAAACGTGTCAGCTAGCCTCTGTAGGCTGTGGCAGATGCTCGAGGTATTTGGCTCTCTTCTTGGATGACATTTTGAATCACGCAAAGGTATTAAATCAAGCTGAATGTGGGTTCTGTAAGTTACAGGCCCTCGTGAGGGCTATTAATTCGCATCTTATACCTGCATGACATCCCAGGGCTCTCATTCACAAGAATGGCCCCAGAACTTAAAGATACTGGCTTATTGGCATAGGTACATAAATACTCCCATAGTCCTCTCACCCACTCATATCAGATGATATCAGATCAGAAGCTTGATGGCGGCATGAAAAGAAAAGCTGTGCTCCGGACGCCAAGCAGCACTAAAGGAAACCTAACAGAGATGTGAATAAACCTGGGACACGCAATCTACTCTGCTTTTTCCTTCATTTGTTTTTATGGGATCCATGTTCACAGGCAACAAAGTACATTTGCTTTGGACTGAAGCTCAGTTCTCTTAAGTAACATGGAGGGAAGGAAATAGCTACAGTAAACAAGGGATGGAAATGGATATGGTAGTCTAACTTTGCTCCAGAATCACGGGTTAAACTCCTACTAGGTACAGGAGGAACAGTACTTGGAATTGTATGAAATAAGATGTGACCAAGGCAACATAACTGGAGACCCTGGTTGCAGGGGCTGATTTACCAGGTAGAAATCAGGCCTCGAATAAGCAGTATCAAACCTAAATATTATAACCCAGGGAAGCCTACAAATAGGAACTGGCCATTCAGAATGTTTCCAGTGTCCTAGGAAACAGAATGAGCTACTTAGACAGTTACAGAGGCACAGAATTTTCCAGCTATAAATGATCCAAAGAATCTGGTCCATTATAACACAGAAGTAAAGGGCTCGCTCAAGTGAGAGAGTGAGCTGGGAGCTTTCGACCATTCTCTGCTATCTTCCTGGGTACACAGAAGCTCTAAAACAGAAGTGTAACTCCAGAGAAAGGAACAGAATACGAACCCAAGAGTTCAGGTCTATGTTTTGGATCATTAATATGCAAATTACTTCATGTATTTATAACATAAATTCTGTGTGCCCCAGTGATGACAGCTAATGAGATACTCTCACTCATGACTGGTCCAAAACTGGAAAGAAAATCTCCTGGTCCAGGTGAAGAAGTCCAGTGAATGCGGGTAAAAAGAGATCAATGACGAATAGAGAAATGCAATTCCCTGGTAAGGTGCAAGAGGGTTTCTGCCGCGCAGGACCGAGGCCCTCTGGTGGAGGAACGGAGGAAGTCTCCGGCCCTGAAGGAGGCCAGGCTGGATGAGGCAACGCAGCCACTGGGTGCGTATTCCCAGTTAAGCCTTCGAAGCAAATACAAGTTTTTCTCAAACTGTTTTTAGTTTATTCCTGGAGAGAGTTTAGGATTCAGAAGCAAATTCCTCCTCAAGCTGGGAAGAATCCTGCTTGTAAGCAAAGAAGCCACAGTAACCACAGAGCGGAGAAACCTGAAGCTATAGCCCACTGCAATCAACGTGGCACCCAGAAGGGTCCCCTGCCCACCACAGATCAATCCAACAGCAGAAAGAGGTGAAACAGGCACATCTTAAAGTGCCCAAATGCAAAACACAATTCTCAGGAAAGCCTATGTCATCCAAACATGTTTAAATCACATAATTTAAGCGATTATTCAACTAATCGCTTCCACTGTTGCCATGAGAGCAGAAAAAGAAAAACGTTAAAGTACATGGATAATCAGAACAAAAGAAGGAAGTTAACTTGCAAGAATTCCATTCCAAATGCTATGAGATAACCCAGTTTGAGAGCGGCAAACAAAACCCACATGATTGCCTTTATATCTCCAAACTGTTCGTTTATTCTTAAAATGTTGAGATCAATTAAAAAATCTAGAAGGAACTGTTGCTTAAAACTCCACTGCAGAATGAAGATAAGAGAGCCAAGGAATCTCCCAATCTCCCTGTTTTTTGAGGGTTTCCACAGACCACTGACATTAGGTCATTTATTCCATGTCAACACCCTTGCCTGAGACAGTGCAATGATGTCAGAATTCATTATGGTAAACTATTCTCAAAACAAATGTTCCTGCCAGCATTCGCGCAGCAGGCACTCTGGCAAGCTGTCAGAACTTGGGGTTCATCTCCTGCACTTTGCTGCACAAGCTTCCTGAGCTGGGTGCATTTCCTTCCATGTGGAATGGTTCCCAACAGCTCGGCTGGGACCAAGGAGGAAAGGGCCGGCGGGTCCCCAGAACACCAGCTGCTTGTCCCACCTGACAGGCAGGCAGAGCTCTGCTTTCGCTTACCAGTATCACGGTCCTCAGCCCATGATGGAGAGCTCAGGCCACGGTCCCACAGCCTTGCTCTCATTCAAATCCTTGCTCTCCCGTTGGCAGGAAAGCCTACCACTTTTCATGGGGACAGAGTCTACTCTTCCCTTGACCTACTTCCATCCTTTCTTCTATCTTTCGCATCTGGTTTCATCCTCCTCCTGCTGAACCTCCTTCCAGGGCTTGTCTGCTGACTTGCCAGCACTCGACCCTCCCTCTTGACCCTCTATCGTGGCAACGGGCTCCCGTTTCCCCGTGGGCCCCATGGCAGCAACTCTCCAGGCTGGCCTCTGAAATGGACATTCTAACGTAGGAGCTTATCGCGCCTGGTTTGTTCCTGTTCTACGACTCTGAACCACATTCTCAGCTCTTTAATATTGCCATCTGTCCCTCTGTAATCAAACCAAGGGGGAAATGTAACTGGGAAGAAAGCCAGAGCGCCAAAATCAAAATGGAAAACCAAGTCTTGGAGAAACCTGGGGACTTGAGAATTGTTTCAGCTTGTGATGGGTGGTTACTTCAATCACGAGCTCCAAACGTTTGTTGTTGTGGTTGTGGTTGTTGTGCTTCTTCTCCTTTTATTTCTTGAGACTGGGGTGGGAAAAGACAATTCTTCCCTTTCACTTGTCCTTCCAAATTATCTTCAGACCTCAAAATCTGACTCGGGCACCAAAACACTGAAATTCAGTATCACCCGTCATTGTCGTGCAAACTCAAAGTAGTGGTGTGAATAAAAGACTTTTTCTACTGAACGTCAAATTCCTGCGTAATGAGGAAAAGGTAGCCCTGATAGAATCTATTCAATATTTTTTTCTCCTCTGTGGCTGAGAATTTTATAACTAAAGATCAGACACAACAAGTCAACCCAGTAGGTCTCAAAGAAACCGTCTGCCTTTCTCCGTGTTTTCTTCTCACCAGCTAGCACTCCTGAAACGCTGAAGCAGTAGGTTACTTCAACAATGACTGAGCAATGTTTCACAGCAGGGGCCAGGTTGGTCCCTGGGGACACACTGCTGAGCAGGGGACACCATCCCTGCCTCAGGGAGCTTAGATGGTTTCACATCGCCCACCAGAACGTAAGTGCCTCCAAGACAGAGACCTTGGCTTTATTCACCAACATAACCCAAGCCTCTGAAACAGAGCCTGGCACACTAGAAACACTCAATTAATATTTGGTGAATGAAAAAGGACCATCGTTAGCCGAATGAACCAAGACTACAAAGGGATACATTCCCTCCTGTTTCTTGTCTCCTTTCTCACTGAGCACAGCCCAGCAGGCAGCAAGGCACTGCACTCTCTTAACTAGAATGGCTTGTATGCCCTCAGGGGTTTCCTAGCAGCCTGGAGACCTGGGGGAAAAGTACTGCTACAACATGACACGTTGGGCCTAACAACTTCTTTTTTTTTTTTTTTGAGACGGAGTTTCGCTCTTGTTACCCAGGCTGGAGTGCAATGGCGCGATCTCGGCTCACCGCAACCTCCGCCTCCTGGGCTCAGGCAATTCTCGGGCCTCAGCCTCCTGAGTAGCTGGGATTACAAGCATGCGCCACCATGCCCAGCTAGTTTTTTGTATTTTTAGTAGAGACGGGGTTTCACCATGTTGACCAGGATGGTCTCGATCTCTCGACCTCGTGATCCACCCACCTCGGCCTCCCAAAGTGCTTGTAATCCCAGGGCCTAACAACTTCTAGAGAGCTATGTGGATAAGGGAAACGTTCCTGCCTTTGTGCCTTCACACATGCTTCTCTGTCTCTAGGGTTAAGACCCAGGGCCGAGGCCAACCTAGATAACACTTCCCACATTTCCACACTGATTTTCATTGGAGTTTCTATCTGTTCACCAACCAAACTGCAATCATCGTGAGACAAAGGCCCCCTCCATACCCCCCACTCCTTGTTTCAACTGCCTCACAGAGCCAGCCAAGTACCTGTAACATTTAATAAGCTGGGCAACCCCAAAAGAAAGAAAAGAATGAGCACAATCTAATGTTCCCAGACCCCTGTCCCCATCTCCTTGCTGAAAAGAGTTATCTTAGTTACAAAGGAGACAACCAGAGCAGGGACTTGGTGTACCATGAGACAGAGCCGACGATCATAGACATGTACCCTTATGGTATGTATCTGGTTTTCCGGAGTGGTAAGTGTTGACAGTGACAATGTCATTCTGGACACTGTCAACATCACTCTGGAAAACCAGATACATAGTATGTATCTTCTAGGTCCGTCACTTTTAGTTCTCAGGCTTGAGAATTTATGTCACCCTTAGCATCATCTATCTTAAAAAAGTCTGAAATCAAAACCAGATAGCCAGATCTGGAAAGTAGGAGAAGAAAAGATATCCTTCACAGTCCAAAAGGACACCGTGGCCGGCTGTCAAGGAGCTGTTTTTCCCAGAATGGAGTCCAGCCTGCCCCTCTGTACACACTCTCCACCTCGTATCCAATGGCACACATTTGTGAAGACAGATGGCTTGCTGCAGTCAGGGGCCAGGGATCAAACCCACAACCTTGGCCTCGTTAGTGAAGGGCTCTCTCTGAGCCACGGAGCGAGCCAGCTGCAGCCCGGATATAGTGACGGAGGGTGCGGCAGCCATCCACGCCGGGATGTGAACAAGCAGGCGAGGCTTCCGGATGTCTCATCTCAAACCTAATGAGAGCTGCACTGGGCTTAGCAACATTTTTTGGACTACCTCAGTGACTGAGGCTTCCTCGTGACAAAAGCAGAGTCAATTATACATCTGGTCACCCGGCCAGGCGGCCAACAGTGCAAGGAGTAGAGACTACAGCCCAGGCAGCAGAGGTGGTATCAGAGACATAAAGTCAAAGAGGTCACAGAGAGCAGCTTCTTGGAGTTCCTACTTAATGGGCCAGGACAGGAAGACACAAACAAGTTCTTCCAACATGGCGTGCACAAGCCTATGAATGAAAGGTGGCCAAACCTCTCTGACAGCCCGGCCAGAAGAGCCACTCGCCCTTCTGTCCCTTTCCACTCCCCTAAGCCCCGAGTCTCTAAGATATATGAAGTGTCGAAAGGCTTGCACCGTCTCGCATCCTTCCTTTCAACCTCTGGGAATGAGTCAAAGAATATCAGTACTCATTCCAAAAGAAATACATACACACACACACACACACACACACACACACACACACACACACACTGAAAAAGAGAGAACATCCATACCTACTATGCACTAAGAAGTGAGGCAGTGAATGCCACGGTCAGCCAGTCAGCAGACATGATTCCTCATAAACTTGTATTTTAATGATGTTCAGTTTAACCCTAACAGTATCCAAACATACGTGGACTCCTCAACCTAACAATACTTAAACCAATCAGCACTTATCTATCATATAAGGATTGTCCTTCAAAGTATTCACCTAGGAATCCACATGCTTATCTACATACCTGAACATCAAGAGACAAAACAGAGTCGTGTGGTCACAGACCCTGGAGCCAGACAGCATGAGTTCAAGTCCAGGCTTGGCCATTTATTAACTGTCGACCTTGGGCAAGTGCCTGTGCCACCGTTTCCTTATAAAATGAAAATAACTGTACCCACCTTATTGCTTTGCTGTAAGAATTAAACTAGTCAATACATGTAGGAAGTGCTTTTTAAGTATTTGCCATTATTACTTTTATTATCCTCAAAACTCCATCATTGTTTAAAACAAAAAACTTTTGGACTTCTGGAATCCATTTTCCAGTCAATTTACAGCACATGAAAAATCTGCTTTATTTCTTTGGAGTCATTTAATTTTGAAGGAAAAAAAGATATTCCCCAGTTTGATGCATTGATACTCTGCTATTTACTGAAAGTCTACCACGTGCCAGGAACTCCCTACATAATTCCCAGGTCTGGCTCGCAATGACGAAAGACAACTTCACTAATCAGTTCTGGGTGGCAAAGTCCCATAGGAAAAGGACTTCTGGCCATCCCGTCCAATCAGTCAATTGGGCTGTGGAGAAGAAAAAAAGGCAGAAAGGAGGTCAAGGGGAGGAAAGTCCTTCCAAATGCACCACGAGCACCTGTGAAGTTCAAGTGCAAGGATCAGAGTGCCACGTTCACTTCCATTTCAATTAGCAGAAGACATGAGAACTGCATTTCCAGCGCAACACTGGGGACCACATTTCAAAGCTATGACAAGTGAGAAAAAATCCAAGGAGATCATTTGAAAGAAAGGGGGGGGAAAAAAAAAAGACCATTAAATGTGCAGGAGTCAGTTGGCCAAACAGTTTCAGAAGCCAAGCAGGTAGTAGAGGTAGGTGAAGAGAGACTGTGGGTCAACAGGTCTCCCAAGCCTGCAGGCCTCCAGTTCGAAACCATAACACAGAAACTCAACAGGGAAGGGAAGATCTTCGCCATTAAATTGGTAAATAAAAGCCTCCAATGTTTTCTTGGGGAAACCAAGCAGTGCTGCTTGGTTTGCGGCAGCATGGTGCCGGACGGGATTCTCACACGTTCTCATGAGTGGGCCAGATAACCCGCCTGGGCCTGGGAAAGGCAAATCTGCTGGGGAGAGAAGACAAAAAGGGCAGAGGTTGAGGAGGCGCATGAGAAGAAGGAGCGCAAGCATGCATGGAACGTGAGCCATTCGGGAACACGGAAGGGGAACGAGTACCACGTGCCAGGCACGCACCGAGACGGGGAAGGACTGGGCAGCAGGCTTCGCCTTGTCTCTTCCTCATCTGCAAAATGGGACTCACACCTACTTCCCAGGCTGAATGAGATGGCACCTGGAAAGCTCCTGAACCAATGCTCAAAAACATGTGACTCTCCCTCCCTTTCCCCAACCAGCTGCTGCTTCTCACTACCCACCATCCGGTCCTTCATTCCGCATAAAAATATTTACTGGCTAAAAGCCAAAAGCAGCCACTAGTGTGATTGCGACCCTTTGGTTTAATAGAAAAATATGCAGAATCAGGACTGGTTTCTATTAGGTACTACACCAAACTCTTCTTCTCAATTGTAGTTTTATACCTGAGGAAACAGAGGCTTAGAATTATCAGGGAGCATGCCAATGATCACACAGCCCACAGCGGAAGAGCTGGGATTTGAACCCAAGCCCTATCTGATGCCAATGCTAAGAAAAGGTGAAGATGATCCCTGTCATGCAGAAGTCTGCAGTCACACTGGAAAATGTGACTACCTCCCATGACACAAAACAAAAGCATCTCAGGGACAGGAGAGCAGGCTGGGAAGGCTCCCAACGGCACAGGCCAACTGCCGTCTCTGTACCTAGACACATTTGGCTGCAAAGAAGGGGATGGGATCCTACTGGAGTGAATGACAAAGGGATAGCAGAGGATTGATGCTGAGGGGTCAGAGCTTCACAGCAGAAACGGAACTCAGAAGAAAGATGGTGTTGGGGGAAAAGACGAACATTGATAAGATGGTGACAACACAGAAAAGGCTCTGACCACAAGCCAATCTTCTAAAGTGAATTCTTTCAGCACACAGCACCTCATTTTCATTGCACAGTACCTCATTTTCATCACACAGTATCTCATTTTTATCACACAGTACCTCATTTTCATCGCACAGT